TTATTTACGAAGAACATCCAATATGCACTCTAACCGGCTTAGTGCTCCGCCCATTTTTTTCCGCCCAACACACTGCGTGACGTCACATGATAGCCTTAATGTGTATAACCATATTTGGAAGGGGTAGCGGTACACATTTTCAGGTCACGTGTTTTGCATAGCTTATTCCCGCATTCTGTCTAGGTAAATCAGACAATATCACGGTGCATATCCATATCGGTACCCTCTTTGCGAAATATTCTCAAACGGTACCCTCTTTGAACATACACAGGCCATTCTCTGCTAAAAACAAACCAGCGATGGATAACAATGCAGTAAAAATTTATTGTAATAAGGAAAGGAGGTATGACATGTAGAAAAGATGTATACCACGGAACACTAGAATGTTTTATTTATGTGCCCAATTTTCATGTACTGCAACTTCACAATAAGCTACAAAAAGTCGACATGTCTTGCCTCGCCCGTCACCTTGACATATTTTTCGGGCTGAAATGAACCTGTAGCTTGATTATATATGCATCATACATATTAATTATGTTCATATACATATCATATACGGACAAATGGCAGTATATTGTTAAAAATAAATGTAAAATTAATAAAAGCACCCTACTTTTCGGTTTTGCAGCGGCACGGGCTGTAATATTTACATAAAAAGTAAGAAATATTACATACATACTTTGTTGGAATAAGTGAACTTTTTATTTGGAAATTATAAAATGATACTGGTTCCGTAGGTAAAAACCCATTTTTACTGTTATTTTCCCTGTTTTTATTTCAATGAACCTCTTTTTTTAATTCTATGCGGTAGTGACGATATACACGTGCGTGTACGGAAAAACATGATGCATAAATATTGATTAGTAGGAGTAAACTTCAAAATCTCTGCACATGCGTATATTTCACTTTAGCGCTCTTCGAAACTTAGCTCCGCCCACTTGCGTTTTATAATATAAAACGTCCAGTTTATATAAAATCTGTTCTATTAAGATTTGTAACCTGAAAATTTGAAAAATCCTCGTCGGTGATTGGCTTAAAACAATTTGCGAGCACTAAATACATTTTTAGGTTATTTTGAAACTGGACATGTGCTGCTTTCAGAAATAATAAATAAAAAAACAGAACTTAATGCAAAATGTATATTTAAGATGAGTTTTTATATAATTAATGGTTTAAGAAATCTTTATATACGAACAGAACAGTGTTTTTTCGTATCCAGAATGTTTCTTTTATGATTTTTTATCAAGTCGAAATACCAATCGACGTGTCCATCAGAAATGATAACTGCAAAACAATATTTACCAATATTTAATGTTTTTTTAAAAGGTATTTACAAAAAGAACTCCGAAGTGTATTATTCATAGTATTTCATATACATGTATCTATTTATTCATTTATTGATTGACTCCAAGACTTGATATTATTTCATTGTTTATCTTTGATAATTAATGATGATAATTTTGACAAGACAATGGTTTAAAATACATTAAATAGTTTATTTGTGATATTAATGATAACATATTACACATGTTAAAAAGGTTGTAGCGTTTTTCCACGATGCACTGCCTTTTTCAGTGTGTAGTACAGTAGCTATGTTGGACTTTGCTTTGCAATTGCACCAATAAAACCTTCACGATTGCACAAATATCTGCTACCTGTAACGTTTGAAATGTTTTTTTTTCACCCATCATCTTGTACTTTATTAGATTTAACGTAAAGATACGAAAAATACTAAAATAAAATACATATAAATCACAAAAATAATAAAAAATCGAAACATATAGTTATAATCAATATGAAAACTTTACGTTTACAATGATAAATTCCATACTTTGTATAGGTTAGAGTGCATATTGGGTGTTCTTCGTAAATAAGAAAGCTAAAAAGGAGCGGAGCTTGCGAAGCGACTGTAGCTTTCTTATTTACGAAGAACATCCAATATGCACTCTAACCGGCTTAGTGCTCCGCCCATTTTTTTACGCCCAACACACTGCGTGACGTCACACGATAGCCTAAATGTGTATAACCATATTTGGAAGAGGTATCGGTACACATTTTCGGGTCACGTGTTTTGCATAGCTTTTTCTCGCATTCTGTCTAGGTAAAAAGATGGATAACAATGCAGTAAAAAATTCATTGTAATAAGGAAAGGAGGTATGACACGTAAAAAGATGTATACCACGGAACACTAAAAATGTTTTATTTATGTGCTGATTTGTCATGTGCCCGATTTTCATGTACTGCAACTTCACAATAAGCTACAAAAAGTCGACATGTCTTGCCTCGCCCGTCACCTCGACATATTTTTCGGGCTGAAATAATCCTGTAGCTTGATTATATATGCATCATACATATTTATTATGTTCATATACATATCATCTTCGGACAAATGGCAGTATATTGTAAAATTAATAAAAACACCCTACTTTCGGTTTTGCAGCTGCACGGGCTGTAATATTTTACATAAAAAGTAAGAAATATTACATACATACTTTTGTGGAATAAGTGAACTTTTTTATTTAGAAATTATAAAATGATACTGGTTCCGTTAGTAATAAAACATTTTTACTGTTATTTTGTTTTCATTTCAATGAACCTCTTATTTTAATTTTATGCCGTAGTGACGAAATACATGTGCGTGTACGGAAAAAACATTTTGCATAAATATTAATTAGTAGGAGTAAACTTCAAGATCTCTGCACATGCGTACATTTCTCTTTAGCGCTCTTCGAAACTTAGCTCCGCCCACTTGCGTTTTATAATATAAAACGTTCAGTTTATATAAAATCTGTTCTATTAAGATTTGAAACCTGAAAATTTGAAAAATCCTCGTCGGTGATTGGCTTAAAAAAATTGGCGAGCACTAATCATACTATATTTTTACAGAGGAAGGTATGGTGAATGTTTTTACATGGAAACAGTAATTAAAAATTTTTTTTTAAAGGTTTCTGAAATTTAAGCCCCTTTATGATTATTTGCAATAGTGCTTCAACAACAGAATCTGTAAGTTAACTTTATATGTTACCATTAACATTTGAATTATTCAAAACAAACAGTAACTACACCTTTTATTCAAATAAACGAACACAGGTGTTCCAGTTGATATTATCTTGAACAGAAGGTGGCAACATTTACAATTTATTTAGTTATTTATACTATTTGCTATCACTGTGTATAAAGTATCTGAATAAATACTTCGATTGCTCTTATGTCCTTAATTAAACAAATTTGAAATTCCAATAGTTTCATGTACAATTTCAGTCCCGCTTTGTTAATGTTATTAAAGTGTTGTAAACTGTATTAAATAAGATAGATAAAACGTTTAAAAAGTACAAATACAACACATACATGAACATTTAGCTGTTATGTATGATTTTCACGAATTATTTATTCAATTTAAATGTATAAGTAGCATGATATCATTTTAAAGATATATGTATTAGTTTTGCCTGTCCCAAAACCATTAGCTTTTTGGTTTCATCAATTGATTTATGTATAAGCTGTATTGTGTTTATAAAACTAACAGACTACAGGTTTTTGTGCCTTTATATTCAGACTATAAATACGTTGCTTTTTATATATAAACATTTATCTAACATTCTGTTGTTGTTGTTTTTTTTTAATAATCTGAATCAGCCATAAAGCTTTACTTCCGATAAAAGCAATTTGTAAAGCATCTGCTTAAATATTCACTAGAACAATTGCAACAAGTGTTACTTGATTTTCCTACATATTAGTTTAAGTAAAGCACTTTTAAAAGTTTACACGTCATTAATTAGGTCTAATAATAGTTTTTACTAGTATTTTTAAAATCATGTTGTATATATTATGTAAATGTTATTTATCAATACTTCCAATTCAGCGCCGATAAGAAGTTCACTGCAACATTATGGAAAGTAGAAAACTCTGCCATTATGAAAACGACAAGGCTATTACGTGAAAAGTCTGCCTCTATGAGATTCAAACATGTACTCGGCATAAATGATTAAGTCAACGCTACAATAAGGATAGCTCGGCGCCATTTTAAACTGGATATTCTGAACGTTGATTATTTAAAGTATTAGCCCCTTTTAGTGGTAACAACTTACAGAAAAAAGATAATAGAAAAAATCCAAACGGTTTTGTGGTTTTGTCAATTTTGCAATGTTAATTAATAAAATTGTCAACGTTACACATATCAGTCAAACAAATGTGATAATTAAAAGCTCCAATCGATTGATATTAGGACCATACTGACATTCTATCAATAAATGTGACATTTATATATAATCAAACATTGATTTAACACTAGTATGTGCTACTGGCATACAAAAGTAGTATTTATGCAAGCGCATTCTCGTAAAATAATATAACATACATGTATATAAGAAAACAAACAGGGTTTTAAATATACATGCTATTTTCAGTCTTTCTTTGATTCTGTAAAGTTTTTATAACCTAATAAGCTAACGGGTTCTAGCTTTCTGCAAGATAGATTTGAATAGTAAAAGTTCATTCAAATAGTAATGTATAAGTACCATATAAGAACCATACACAGCACTTAATTAAACGAAATGTAACCGTCGATCTCAATAGATGATAATAAATCCGCCATTTTCTGCTACATGATTATCTTGCCGTTATCATAATTATTAAAATGCTTGCTGAAAATATTATATTTAATTCTGGGAATATGAATATTAATAGAAAAACAAATTTTAGACGATACCCAGTGACGAGATATAAAAAAAATCAAATAATAACTTCTGTAAGAATTGAATAATCGTTGAAAATGACGAAATATGGTGTTTTCTTTTGTCTTTCTATTAAAGCATCATATATAGTAACTGTATTCGTTGTTGCAATCCCGATTTTCTCATATTCAAATTATGAATTGTTTTGTTTTGTGTCACTATACTACTTATTGTAAAATATTAATCCGTGTTATATCTACTAAAAACTTATCGAGTATGACAGGGATTATTTTAACTGCGGAACTTCTCAATTGTGGCTCAATTTAGTTTCAGGCAAAAACAGTACATGAACTGACGTGAGAATGGTTTGGGAGAGAGACTTTGATTGTCCTTACAATACAATATGATGCTTCTCCTTAAAATCATTTGTTTATGCACACTTGCCAAAATAAAAGGTAATAAATTTAGATGCTCATTTGCAAATGTTATATTTTAAAGACTAAGACCTAGTAATAAAAATATATATTTCCTAGGAATCCGTAAAAGTTGGATAATTTCTTTGTTTATTCATACCATTTTAGAGTATTAATCTGCCACGGCTAAAAACGCACACAAATTAAGAAACGTTGAGAAATCAATTCAGCATGCATAAATATATTTTCCCAATTATTTTACTGAATACAGAATAACATATACCATAGTAACAAAATTTATCTTTTGTTTTCTATATTTTGTTATTTAATGTTAATACCAAACGAGTGCAGATATGTACATCATTAATTCATTGTCCATTCTTATTTGTGAACAATTTCATAATGCTAAATATTCATTTGCTTTCTTTTTAATTTCTATAGAAATCGAAATGATAACACTGAGTAATAAGAAACTTACAGTAACATATCATAATTATCAACGAAGTTGGAACGAGGCAGCGGCTATATGTGACAACAACGGTGGTAGACTGTATGTTGAAGACTCTGCTGAAAGAACTGTCGTTATTGAAAAATACAATGCAGATTTTTGGGCTTTGTAAGTTTTATTAAATAAACAATATCTGACATAAGCTTAAGGTTTTTCCGATTTTTTTGTTTATCCATTTAATTTATATTTGTCGTTGTTTTTGTAATGATTCTGTCTTATCAAAAAGCAAATTGTTCTTTTTTATACCATCACATCAAAGATTCATATTTTTTCTTAAGGAATCTGACTGAAATTAACCATTTCTAAACCGAGTTTTTTAAAGTAACAAAATGTGTATGTCAATGTTATGGTGGTGACATTGACTTTTTCTTCTCATAGTTTCGTGACAAAGAGAGATATGATTATAATAATATAAAGACAACAACAACAAAATTTTGATGTTAGATATTTTAAATTATATATTTTAAATTATACCTCGTTCTCTATTTGATTTTATGTTTTTCTTATTTTGTATGAATCAATAATATCGTTCCCTAATGTGTTACTTAGATATGTATTGCACTGACAGTCTGTTGTTTGTTATTTAATCACATAGCGGTATGCAATAAGTATATTAACATCATTAATATAATCAATGGCAACAGCTTTATTGTGGGAATGACGGAACACGTTCAATAAATAATTTTGTACACCATGGACTTAATTTCAGCAATAAGACCGCCTTTATTGTGAAGATAGTGTTGCATATTCAATAAGTAAACTTTATGTATATATCATCGATTTAAGCAATGAAAACCCTTGGATTGGACTTCACTATCCGAGCACTAGCAGTAATGATGTTTTTGCATGGACCAGTTGCTTTTGGGTGGACTATGAAAATTACAAAAATGCAGCCGAACCTAAAGATACAAGTGACAAGAAATGTGGTCAAACTAACAAGAATGGTATCGGCTGGGAGTCACATGACTGCAGCCATGATCACAAATTTGTATGTGAAAAACAGAGTGCAGGTAAACTTGCATTATTGTTATGACTGCATATTTTTGGTACTTTTACTTCTTTTCAATTTGGTATATTTTTAGTCGGATGATTCCAGCATTCTTCACCTAAATACGCTTTAAACACCCTAAGGATATGTTGCCTGCTTTTGAATTTTGTTTTTTACAGCTTAACTGTGATATGCAGGCTTCATAACTTTTAATTCCCTTTAAAATTCCATTCTATTTTGTTTCGCCCAATGTTTTTTTTTCGTAAAGTGCACCAGCACATTTCTTCTCGGGGACCATATGCCGCTATTCATTGAATGGCACTAATGTTTCGCATTGAAGGTTCCATGATCACCGACATATAAACACATCTACGGATGTTTCAAAATTCAACATTGTACCAGTTCAGGTTAAATGTTGAATTCTGCTTAAACCGGTGCTAGGGGTGTGGACGGTAGCTTGCAATTACCACTACCGTCCATGAAGAGGCTCAATCAAACCGAGCCTGCATCATTTTCAATTTTTCAGTTTTGTACTTTCTTTAGGGAATCTGTTTTTTCTCTATGGATGAACAAAATAATTTTATTCGAAAATTGACTCTTTGAAAATTCCTTTATCTTACATAGTAAGTAATAGATATTACAGTTGAAAGCATACTGCTTTATAATCAATTTCCTCATGCTCCTGCACATTATTTGCTGCATTTTCACATGCTATTGATTGATAAGATCGATAGACATACTGAGTTAAATATTTTTGTTTATACGTTTTTTTTTAAAGATTTCAACAAATGCGTGCACGTCATATACTGACTAAAGCACATTATTATATGATCTAAATATAGCTGCAATCTCATTGGTCCAAACAGTAGTCATCAGAACTTTTTATAAAATCATATTTACTGGGTGTAGTATCATATTCACTGGCTGAACTGGATTTTCCCAGTCTAAAAATAGATTGAGACTCATATTCAATGATCATACACCGTAGACTGTTAATTACGTGTGTTGATTAAAAAATAATTGTTGCTTTTTGTTCTTTATGGCATATTTCTCGATTAAAATATCAATACTTTACTATTATACTAAAAGGTAACACCGCAATGATGAGTATAAACTTGAATTATTTTTGTATGCGCAGCGTTCGCGTAGTCGTTGCACGCCTAACACGTGCGTCTTTTTTCTCGCGCTTCAACGAGGCAAAATTTGTACATGTATAATTATAAGGTTGTACTTTTGTGGTTTTTTTTTCTAATTTCTTAGCCTATTCATATAATAAAACAATTATTGACTAGTGAACCATTGAATATGATGTGATATTCACCGGCAGAAAGTCATATTGACCTCGGCTATCGCCTCGGTCAATATGTCATCTGCCGGTGAATATCACATCATATTCAATGGCTCACTAGTCAATAATTGTATAATATATCATTTAACATATCATTTAATAGAAAACTATCGTTTATAGACACAAGTTAACCAAGCTAACAAACAAACTAACGTTTTTCATTTTTATTTCAGCCGATTGTACATTTACAGACAGAACTGGAATCCCAACTACATCGAATAAGTTTTCATCGAGTACAATAACAACAGCTGATCATAATGGATGTAAATCAAAATGTCTCATGAGAATTGCGAACAATCTCAATTGTTGGGGTCTCAATTTTTTGTCAGCATCAAGCATGGATAATTGTGTCTTATATTTTGCTGAAAATCCGTTTTATTTCACAGAATCTGCAACATATGACGGAAGTAGTACCAGCATGTCAATTAAGAATTGCTATACGGGTACGATAAGTTTATATTTAATCATTATTCTTTACCTTTGTTTGTAAATTTGTAAATGTCTGTCACATAACCAAGTGGAGCTGCTGGACCTGTTATTTCAGGGTTTTTTCATTTTAAGAATATATAGTACTTGAACATTGTAGGTCTTTTTATCAAAACAAATCAAAGCATTTGATAAAAATTTCAACCTCTTAGCTTCAATATTTTTGAAAACTTCTATGTTTCAAATGACATTCAAAATTAATTTATGACGGGCTATTAAATAAACTTTCAAAATTATGATACAACTTCAATTCAGTTAATCAGATAGTATGAAACAAACTTGAAAAATAAAAATTAGTTGAACTGAAAGGTGTAGCTGTCAGGAAAATATGAGTTTAAACAATTCTTAAAAAGTCTTTAACAATTGTATTCTTTAATTGAGGTGTGAATGAACTTATTTCTTCAGTGCCGTCCTTTTTGTAACTTTCGGGAAAAATGTACATAAGTTTGCATTGAAATAGTACTGATCGGTAGCTAAAGGGTCAATAAGCATATGTAAATGTCTGTGTACCTAAATACAAGTTAACAAGTTAACAGTGTTTATAATTTGGTCATATATTTCAACATGCAACAAAATTGAACCAGAATATACATAGACTAAATAAAACAAAGAAATACTAACATGTTAGGATATTATTTTATAAATCAGATGCCGAAGACACGACTGACAATACACCAGTCACAGATGACAATAGTAAAACACCAGCTGCTGTATGTGATTTATACACTGACCAAACAACCACAACCACCACCACCACCACCACCACAACTACAACAACAACTGCTGCGCCAACAACTTCAACCACTACCACCACATCAACAACGACTGCTGCTCCAACAACTACAACAACGTCTGCTGCTTCAACATCAACGACTGCTGCTACAACATCATCTGCTGCTCCGATAACCACAACATCAGAGTGTACCTGCGGTTGTTCGGATCTACCAAATTTTATTTCTAGTGAGCAGTCTATACCAGAATGGTCGAATATGACTACAGAAGAAAAGGTAGAATATTTTGTCGTTAAACTCCGTGTTGATAAAACTAAAGTATCTGCAACTCTGAGAAAAAAGACAAGTGCCCAAGACAACCGAGCAATTTCAAAGTCAGTAGGTTATGTTTCTCTCGTATTTATGTGTATAGTATTTGGACTTATGGTTCTGTCAGATGTAACAAAGTTTGTGCAATACGTACTAAAACAAAATGAAGGTTTACAAGACAATACTGTCGGCATGAAAACGTTTGAGGTTGATTCCGCCTTGTGAACACGCTTACCTGAGTTTTAACAGTTCTGTCCTTGCTTTGTTAAAAATATGACAAGGTTAATTTTGTGATAGATAATCGGAAATGTGCAGTGACCGTTTGCAAATATAAAGGCAATTTATCAAATTAATGAATATAGAATTAAGAATCCACATCCCCATGTTTAAAAATATATACAGTGAATATATACTTAATTAGATAGATAAATGCCAATTCTCAAAAGTGGAAGAATGCAAAATGTCCATGAATGTCTACTATGCAGTCGCAAATCGTAAAATTTTATATATATTTCTAAAAATGTAGAGTTGGTACGCACATTTTATATAACTTGTTGACATGGCAATACTACTTGTCTTTGGTATGATATAGTATTTTATTTTTTAATTATATAGAAATCACTTACTTTTTACCTTAATATTACCTGTAAACAATTGTTTTATATAATTATAATATGTTATATCAAGATTTCAAAAGACAAAGATCAATATAAACAGTGCACGAATGACACCATGCCAACATCAGAAATGAGATATTTTTGGTTATCTAAGAAGTTATATCTACTATTCATTACTGCACCTAGCCCTTTGTAGATCAATTAGTAATATAAGTTCTGTATAAGTTTGGTTAAAATATAATTAATAAAAGGAAAATGTTATCTAATTTACATGTACATTTGGCCATAACACTGAAAAAGACGTGATGGAATCAGACCGGTTCAAAAAATGAACCTTGATATACTGGCGATACATGAGCTGTGCAAGTATGGTTGAAATGCAATAAAAAAACGCTGCTACTTTGTGGACACTACGTTATTGTAAGACACATGGCTAACAGACAAAGCTGATCATTGTGGTCAGTGTGAGTTAAAAATTTAATGGGAAAAAAATATAACCAAAGAAGATCATGGCAAAGATGTAAAATATAATAAATACGAAACTTTTAACGTACAAAATGTGTTCAGTAAAGATATTATTAGTTTCGTTTGATATTAATGCCTTATTCTAAACCGTTCATAACGATACACGTAAATATTACGAAGTAGGTGTTAGAAATGTTTGATACATGAATGGGATGACGATTTTACAATAATATTTCCGACAGATCAGTTAGAGCAATTTGTCAACAAGAACTTTCCTTCGTAACAATTGAAGTGCTGCAAAAGTACATTTCAACGACATAAAGATATGCGATATGTATTCAAAGCAATGAGGATATACTATCACAATTGGGCAGCACGATTAAGCGATAAAATTGCAACTAATGCAATCAAATGCAGATGGCATATTCATTTCTATTATATGCGTTACTTGGTATATATAACACACCTTTGAGCTATTATTTCTGGCGATGTGATAAACTTACGGAAATAGCTCTGTCAGTACAGCCAATCATGGTCTATTTTAACATCTTCCATTATTCATTGCTAATTGTTAAAAAGTTGGAACTGAACCTTTCCAAATAATAAATTAAAGTATAAAAACGGTGTCAATTTTCTATACAATTGTAATTGTAACTGTTCGTTATATGCACTTGATTAGTTCTGGCTGTTTTATTTAACTGTTTATATCCACAACCATACACTTGAAAATATGTTATTATTTAGATATGTCATGTGTAATGTTTTTTTTACAATTTCACGACAAACAAAGTTTTAAATCACTGATTTTAGATAGAGAAAAGTAGTTTTAAATGTGTTTTATTGCACGCCTAATCATGAGCTACAACGCAAATAAACTGATTTGATTTGAAGAATTAATGAGGGACGCAGCGATTGAGCGCTATAATCTACTGGCGCTTAGCGTTAATTTAAAATGTTGTGTCAGCACGTGTATATTATTTGTCAATCATGTTATACTATTAAAACATTCAACAACAAAATATCTAATAAGCGCAATTTGAAGGCAATATAGGATGACCGAAAGCTCTAATTATGTGATATTCCCAAGTAGGGAGTTCGAAACCATGCTTTCTTGGTTTCCTTGAGTGGCAAACAACTTGACCATTAGATGTAGAACTAATCATGTAATAGATACATCTTAATGAACCATATAGAATAATCGCAACATAATTTCAAACATTAATTCATACATAAATTGATGAAGTAAGAACATTTAAGATAATATAAAGATGTGGGCTTCTTAACTGTGTCAAGAATTAAATTTAATTTTAGGATGATTATTATGTTTACACTATGTTAGATTTTATTTTCAATTTACGTTTATTTACAAATACATGTACACCTTCATGACAATGTTATTACTTTGTTAATCATTCTTGGCCAATTATCATGTTTTTCTGCGTGATATCTTTGTATTATAGCATCATTTATCATGAAGTTATTTGCCAATGTTCCGCCACATTAAATACCTAATGTGGTAATAAAATGCGGCAATTGTTAGTCTGCTGATATAACAGGGTTATAACCGCTGTGAATCAATCAACGACGGAATTAAAGTTTATAAATGTCATTGATTTTATGGTAATCTAACGTCAATGTGACAACAGTGCAGGAAATTATTATGAAATTATTTCTGACAAAACAGTGTATTTTACACAAAGAGAAGGTTTGATCAAACAATATCCATTATTGACTTGGTCTGGATTTAAACTTTTTTCTTAGATATGTTTTCGTTACGAAAAGTATGTTATTTTCATAAAATTTTGATATAAAACCATTGTTATATTGTTATTGAAACAAGTTAACAATAAAATATAGCGATACAATTTTATAATACTAAGAGAAAATACATTTCAAACTAGTTTTTTATTAATAGCATTTGAGCATATATGGTCAAATTGACTCTTTTACTTTATGTTTTCAATAACATTGTAATCAAGTTAAAACTGAATAACTGAATAAGAAAAATAAATCGTGTAGAAATCATTTTTTTCAGCTAATACAAGCCATTAAAGATCCTGTATGTTGTAATTAAGGTTGTTACCACACTTAAGTGAAATTTTATATACTTAAACGTATAATTATGCTTCTAAAACAATTTTCAAACATCGAATAATATGCAAAATATGTACTGCAAATATTTGTTAACATTATATGTAATCAACAAAATATATTTATTCATTTCTTATTGAAAAAATGTCTTGTACTTTATAGAAAATAAATTTCTAACTACCCCCCTTTATGGACATGAAATGTAAATTCGGTAATATCTATAAAAATAAAGCTTTTTGGAACTTATAATATTGATAAATCTCCTTTTGAGCATTATATTTATGATATAAAACCATAAAAAATGAGTAACAAGATCTTTAAAAGCCTCATACTATTAATTATAAAACAGAACGCTTCAACTTTTGACACAATTAAGAAAAACTATACTGCAGGAAACAAAGAATTCTACTAAGCGGTTAAACTGAACATACCTAAATCAAAATAGATTTTCATGTTGGAAAACGAAAAACATTATGATCTGAAAAACTAATGGTGGTTCAGCAAAGGTTAACTCGCCAGAAAGTTTTCTACCTTCACAATACGGGGGAAAAAACGGTAGCAACGAAAGAAAAGTAGTCCTTAAACTTCTGGTCACACGACTGGACAGCAAAAATCAATTACGGTTATTTATGTATGCTTTATAAAGGAATACATACTCGTATTGTTATGTAAATCGGCTCGGAATCAGGGAAAAATACTTCTGACAGTACAACAAATAGTTAAATGTAAATAATCCACGCTTATTATGTTTGATTTATTATCACCTGTGAACCTGTGAAATAAATCACATAATTCCTCAGAAATCAATACTTGTTTAATTCTTAATGTGTTTAATAATGTTTAGAGAATGTTTTAATTGTAAATTGCTGAATAAAGTAGCGTTGATCGTGCAGTAATGTGTTATAAAGGTAATAAAGTTCAATACAAAATGCTAAATCACTATCATTATACCTTGCTATAAAGAGCAAAAGTGGCAAAACATAGTTCGTTTTTACGGCCAGTTGTTAGTTTTTATTTAAATTGTAACACGATAAAAAAATGTTGTTGAGAAATATAAATGAAAGCAGATTGAAGGCTATTTATTTATGTCCAAAGTTGTGTTGTGTTGTAACGCTCATGAATACAGATCCTATATAATTACAATGAATAAAAATAGACAGCCTTTCCTTTCTTTTTTTTAAGTTAAGCTTTTACTACTTTACTGAGAGACAACAACTGAAATCATTATCAAAATTCAGCAAGGTTCAAAGGAGAAGAAAAATCATAATACATACCAAAGTCCTCCCTTTCGAAATAAGAGGTTTTGTTATATTTTTGTTTATACTTCCCTTCACTAAAATCAGCATCATTTCTTTTTTCTTACATTAGATATCCTATATTTTAATAAAGAAAACAAATTAAACCAATTGCATCAATAGTCATAACGAAATTCGTTATATCCAAGCATTATCATAGTGATACATAGAATTTCGGATATAGCGAAAATTTTTGAAAAAACAACTTTATAGTGTTTCCGGTTAGAAAGCAGTTTCTTGCTTCAAATTGCTTTCAATTCAGGGTATGATATTGCAATAATGTGTAAGATGTATGTTGCATTTAAGAAGTCAATAAAAAGGGTTTATCACTTTTCGGGTACTTTTGAAAAAAAAAAGTTTGGCTATCAGTGAAAGCGCTATATGACAGTATAGATTAGTGTAAATTTGAGACGGAAATGAGCCGATTGTACAAAACATTATTTCTCTTCCGGTAGTGACCAAGAGTGCGGATATTGTTTACTAGCGGCGAACATTATTTTAGGGAACATTTGTGAAGAATTTTTATTTTATGCTTTCGAGTGGATTACTGATTTATCCGTAAAAACTATATTTGATAATTTCACAGTGAAAATTATCAAAATACAATTTCACACTTTTCAATGACGAGACTACTTTTGAAAGATTTTCCCCATGTGGAACATCATTTTTTAAGCTAAAAATTCTGCCATTGTCAGGGCTGTTTAGAGAAAAGCAAAGCTGAAATTGATAAATAACTTAAATTTCAAAAGTTATAAGAATGAACTTTCTTCAAATTCAAATTACCAAATATCGTCTCTAAGTCTATTTTTTGTTTGTTTTATTTTTACAATCTGAAATATACACTTCCTTCCACATGCAAAACTGCTCTTGATGACATTTGGGTATATTTAAGTATCCTACGAGCAATAACTACCTAATGCAATATGAAAACTTTATAAGCAATAACAGTCATCAGCCCGAAGAAAAAGTAAACAGCCCAGCGTTCGTAAGACAGCCTTTTAACAATTTCATCATCCATATTTTCCTAATTCCTAGCCGCTTTTTGAATGTTTACACATCTGTCAAGAATTATTTATGATCTGTAACAATCCTCAAATAAGTTTCCTTTCTTATAAAACGATGTATGACTAACAAATCCAAATGATATCCCTCTAAAGCAAACAATTTTTTTCCTCCCGTAAAATGTACAACTTTTAAAAATGACAGCATCTTATATTACTCAAAGCCTGGTCCAATATATAAATTCGCCGTAAGTAACGGAAATAAGGTCGGATCGTGTGACTTTTTCTTCTACTAGAATTGTTTGTTTTTATTTTTAAAACAAGGGATCTTTCATGTTTTTGAAATAAAATAAATAATATCATCGCCGTTTAACGTTGATTGTCGAACTTTTTTCAGCTCAAGACTTCTTGTGAGGCTACCAGAAACTTAAATGAGGCTACCAGTGGTGAAAACAGATTTTAATTTTAAAGTTAATATTGTGGAAATTTTATTTAAAATTGTTTTTAAGCATAAAACTAGATATGTGTCCATAGAACACGGGTGCCCCCACACGCCACTGTTCTGTCAATCTTATGACTCTATGTCAAATACTTTTTGGACTACATGTGCCACAAATTGAAAACTGAAAATCATTTACTAAGTAAAGGGCAAGAACAAATACTGAATAAATCCACAAGCAAACCCCAAGGTGCATAAGTTCACATGCTGACCAACATTCTTGTAAACTTTCAGGCCTACAAGTCAAATACTTTTTGAGCTATGCATGAACAAGTTGAAAATTGCAAATTTATACTACAAAATCAAGGGCAATAACTCTAACAAAACTGAACAAAATCCACATGCAAAGTCCAAGAAGCATAGCTTCACAGTGATATTGATCATTATTCCTGTAATTTAGTAATGTTGATCATTATTCCTGTAAAGTCGGTTGATTCTGACTCAAACACTCAAGGAACAAATAACACAACATAATGAAACCATTTTTTACTAAGTCAAGGACATGAGCCACATTCTCGTAAGGTTTCATGACTCTATGTCAAATCCTTTTTGTGTTATATGCGACATAAGTTGAAAATTGAAAAAAATCTAAGTCAAGGGCAAAATCTCTAAAAAATACTATATAAATCCACACAAAAATACTCAGGTGCACAACTACATATGCTGATCAACATTCCTGTAAAGTATTATGACTCTAGGTCAAATCCTTTTTGAGTTACATGCGACACAAGTTGAAGATTGCAAATATTTACTAAGTCAAGGGCAATAACTCTTAAAATACTATATAAATCCACATGAAAATACCCAGGTGCACAACTTCACATGCTGATCAACATTCCTATTAAGTTTCATGACTCTAGGTCAAATACTGTTTGAGTTACATGCGACACAAGTTGAAGATTGCAAATTTTTACTAAGTCAAGGGCAATAACTCTAAATAAATAAACACAAACATACCCAGATGCACAACTACACATGCTGATCAACATTCCTGTAAAGT